AACTAACGATATCCCAATTGGTATCTCTCGCACATCAGAAGGTCGACAAATGTCGATACAACAATGGCTATCCATCATCTACTAAAGACTCAGGCAGTTACAATCACTTCCAACAAATAAAAAATGGTGTAAAGATCAACGACTTGTTCAGAAGGGAAAGTATGAATAAGAAAGAAACAAAAAGCCCTGCTAAGTCAAAACTTGAAAACAAGTCGCTTAGGCAAAAGTTGGTGCATCCCGCTGGACTTCCAAATCGAAACTCAAAAGAATTTGTCCAGGAAAAAGCTAGGGAAAGCAAGAAAAAGATTACCAATGAAAATCCCTATCTATAGAACAAAGTCGTGTGATCAGACACCAAAATCAAAAGTTTGTGACTGTCGTGTCAAAGAGGCCTCAGTGGTTCCTTAACCATCGCAAAGTCTTCTCGAGAGATGAATACTTGTATCGGGTCAACTGAACATAGGAATGGAGAACATCATGGAGAATGGGTGGGCACCAAATAATTTTGAGCCTCAAATCCTTTTTTCTAAAACCATGAACCAGGCCATGTTACAACCCCTAAAAGTACTAACTAAACATGGGTAAATACGAAAGCATGCTACGATGAGATATCATTTAACTGACTCCTAGGGAGTATGTTTAAATATATGTGTTGACATCATATGCTTTCATTATCTTTCACGAAAAATAATTTTCAAATGTTGCTCTCTAGCTAGTGACTCATTCATAACAGAGTTGTGACATCATTTCACTCAAAGTTTTTTCAAACTTCAAGACTTACATACGTGTTGCATTAGAATTATCATTCTCATAATAAACATTCTTCTGCATACAAAACAACTTATTGACATCAAGTAAGTTTACACAATGAACAATCGGTAAAGAGCTCAATCTTATCAGAGAAGAGAGGTTCGAATACTCTGTTGAAGCAAGAGTCAGTTGTCACAAGAGAAATGACTTATGCAGGGGCATGTTAACCAGTGGTTATGTCAAGAGAAAGTATCTTGGTGCTTCACAGTCTGAGTACCCTCTAGGGATGAAGTTAGAAGATTCTGCCAATCTGGGGTAATCAAGTCGAGAGTCGATCTCTCCGAGTTCAGCCAAATCTAGGGCATTCCCTTAAAGCTATCAATCAGAGTCTATCACGTCGATAAATCTCTTCAAGCTAATATCAATTAGAGGCTATCACGTCGATAAATCTCTTTAAATTGACGTCGATCAGGGGCTATCACATCGATAAATCTATTCATAATTCATTCAACCTGGGGCAATTACGTCGAGATTTAACAAATCTCTCAAAGAAAGTTGTAATCAAGAGCAGTTTACTTCATGATTCAAGACATTAGGGCAGGCCACCTTATATCATATTGTGGCACGGATATTCCGGTCTTCTATTCAACACATATCTTCTCAAAGATCCTCCAGGAAGGGGCATTCTTCATTCGTACTTGCAAAGTTGCTCAAGCCAATTATGTTGTACGAGACGACTACAATCAAGCTAAAAGAGTCATAACGGTCACCTTGACCTAGCCAACTCACAAAGCCTCCTCTGCTTGCTACAGACAATTTCATAATCGGATTCCCCAAGTGAATTCAGAAAGTAGTCATTATTTGATTTGGCATGCGCAAGTGCACGAACCCGAGAGCTAAACCGAGGCATTCATATAGCTAAACTGGAGCATCCCCAATGGAGTAAACCAGGGCATCCCCAATGGAGTAAATCGGGGCATTAGCAGAGTTAAACCGGGGCATACACAGGTGTCCATGCCCATCTCTTATCCCCAAGTGATCCAAGAGGTAATTCCCCAGGGTGGCGTAAACTTGGGGCATGCATCCGAAGAGATCCACATAGTGTTCAGTATCCATTCTTCAGCATATTCATTTCTACTATCCTCTTAGTGGTTCAGGATGTAGAGAAGTCGGGCCAAATTATCTCTTCCCCAACAACTCAATTCAGAATTCAATGACGTACCTCAAGACTCGCTTTGTCAGCAATTCAATCTCCAGCGGAGTCATCAATGATCTTCGGTATCATGAACTCCCCAGTGAGAAATTCTTATTAGTATCCCTGACAATCTCTGATATTGCAGGTTCCCATCACTGATATATATGGGCATCCCCGGTAATGAGAAACAGTTCCCAATGAGCCTTCTCTTATCCCCATGAAGCCTGTCTCTTTGCATTTGTATATAGTTATCATTGCATAACATTGCATCCTCAAAAGCATGTAACCGATCCATTAGAATGGATCTTTGTGGAAAAAGAAATTTAAACATGCATACGAAGCATATGCCATATCAGGTACCTTACACAAAAGACATGGATTATTCAAGGACAATAATACGTCCCCTCAAGAGGATATCACTCCCAAATCCCCAGCTGGTGACCTTCACCTTCACAATTCCCAACAAAATCAATACACCTTATCATTTCAGAGCCCAGTTCTCACTCTGGCAAACCATTTTCAAAACCCAGTCCCCGTCTGGTAGTCAGTTCTCGTATGACGACCAATTCTAGACTTAACACTCGTCTGCATCAGTTTCCTAAACACTCGCCCGTGTCAGTTTCCTAAACACTCATCTGGGTCAGTTTCCTAAACACTCATCTGCGTCAACTCCTAAACACTCGCCTGTGTTAGTTTCCTAAACACTCGTCTGTGATTAATCTCTCTTTGATGCTCATCTGTATCTTCTTTCAATACACGTCTGTATTGATGCAAACACTTGTTCGTGTTTAACCTTTCTTTGATACTCGTTTGTATCAATTCAAACACTCGTCGTGTTAACTTCTAAACACTCGTCGTGTCAATTTCTAAACACTCATCGTGTCCTGATCGATGTCTTCCTTTTGGTTATCGTGTCTTGATCGATACCTCTCTTGTGATTCACCGTGTCCTGACCGATGTATTCTGGTTAGCTATCTTATCCTGATCGATGTCTTCCTTTTGGTTATCGTGTCCTGATCGATACCTCTCCTGCGAATCATCGTGTCTTGATCTATGTATTCCTATTAGCCATCATGTCCTAATCGATGTCTTCCTTTTGGTTATTGTGTCCTGATCGATACCTCTCCTGTGAACCATCGTGTCCTGATTGATACCCCTCATGCAAATCATCGTGTCCTGATCGATATATTCCTATTAGCCGTCATCTCCTAATCGATGTATTCCTTTTGGTTATCGTGTCTTGATTGATACCTCTCCTGCGAATCATCGTAACCTGATAGATGTATTCCTATTAGCCATCGTGTCCTAATCGATGTATTCCTTTTGGTTATCATGCCCTGATCAATACCTCTCCTGCGAATCATCATGTCCTGATCGATGTAATCCTATTAGCCATCGTGCCTTGATCGATGTCTTCCTTTTGGTTATCGTGTCCTGATAGATACCTCTCCCGCGAATCATTGTGTCTTGATCGATGTATTCCTGTTAGCTATCGTGTCCTGATCGATGTCTTCCTTTTGGTTATTATGTCTTGATCGATACCTCTCATGTTAATCATCGTGTCTTGATCAATGTATTTCTGTTAGCCATCATGTCCTGATCGATGTCTTCCTTTTGGTTATCGTGTCCTGATCGATACCTCTCCTGTGAATCATCATGTCTTGATCGATGTATTTTGGTTAGCCATTGTGTCCTGATCGATGTCTTCCTTTTGGTTATCGTGTCCTGATCGATACCCCTCCTTTGAATCATCGTGTCCTGATCGGTGTTTCCCTCTCAGTCATCGTGTCCTGATCGATGTATACCTTTCAATCATTGTGTCTTGATCAATACTCTCTTTAGAATCATCATGTCATGATCGGTGTTTTCCTCTCAGTCATCGTGTCCTAATCGATGTACTTTGATGTCGTCGTGTCCTGATCGATGTATACCTCTGATTTAGTCCCACCTCTTTTAATTCCCCATTGGATCTTGCAAAAACAAATAATCCACTCACAATTTCTCTCAGAACAAATTTTTGGCATTGGTATTTAATCATCTTCTACCTCGAACGCCCGGAAGGCACGCGCCAATCGTACTTTCAGGTTTTAAGACGATTAAATAGGGGCAGCTGTAATACCCCAAATTTGTCCAACCCTCTCACTTTTATTTGGCTTACGCGTCTCGCATTTTTCTCATGTACATAAATTCCATTAGGTCATTTAACAACATCATGCATCATTAATCAATCAAATGGGCATGGGATCGGGGATCTTGAGGTGTAAGGTTTATCTCTGGCTTTGAGAGTATCACTTTCATTCAAGGTTGATTCACAGTATTTAGTTAACAATCTTTGGTTTGTGGAGCTAGGGTTTTATGGGCATGATTCATTGAGAATTTCTTGCATCGAGATATTACCAGGCTTCCATCTTTAAGGTTACTTTAAAAGTATCAAGTCTTTACGATCTCCTCAATGACTCAGAATCAAATGAGAAGGCTTTAGATTAAGGTTGTTGTGTTTATCTTCATTATTGCAAGGGTTGGATTCATGGTGAGAGTCTATAAGCTTAAGGATGCTTTGGTGATATATTGGTTGAGGTTACAAGATATGGTTTGTGGATTCAAAACATCATCGCTCTTTCAGATATCAGTTGCTTATCATGCGAGTTGAGTTTGGCTCAAATTTAGAGAATTAAAATTAGAGGTTCATTGAAATTGCAAGATAATTTGGAATTTTGAACTTAGGAGGGCTCAAGGTAATCCAGGTTTTTCATCGGGATTTGGAATTAAAAACTTGTCAAGATAATCAAAGTTTCTTAAAGTTCAAGCAATTCATTCATGGGTTATCTTGAAATAAAATATAAGTCACCAATTCAAATTTGTAAGGCATGATCACTCAAAGTCCTTTCGAGTGTTTGTTTTGATTCAAGTTCGATAAATGGATGTATATTCTAAAGATTGGAAGACTTGTTTCAAAATTACAAGAATTACTTGAGACATACATCATCATTTCTAAAAGGGTTCATATTCAAAGTCCTAGTCTTGTTCAGATATTCTTCATCATTTAACTTTGTTCATGGGACCTATTCCGGTTACAATTCAAGGAAAAGTACGAATTTATGTGGAATCATTAGATTACTTCAAGTTTCTATTTAAGGCCAGGGTTTCATACAAAGCCCAAAACATTCAAAGTCCTCATTTCCAAATCAAAGGAAAAATTGAGGCGTACAAAGATTACTTCTGTTACAAAGCCTTAAAGGCTATGATAGTTTAGAAGAATGCATTACAAGTCTATAATTTAGCTATGATTCTAAAGTTTATCTTCTGCTCCAAATCATCAAATTCCATGCTTCATCTCCATCTGCATATTTCTATTCGGTTTCATCCATATTCAACCAAACATATTGTCATCTTCATGCCAAACCCGTAGTTGTGTCAAAATTGTCCCAAGCTTGTAGAGAGTACTGTGAACCTACACATAACTCAGTGTATAATCATCCCTTCATACAAGAACCCCACATTAAATAGGAAAAATCCAAAATTAATATTCAATTAACTTTCAAGCTTCATAACAGTCCTAACTGTCAAAAACAGAAAATAACTAAGCTCTCCCATTCTTCATAACAGAACCCAAAACCGATTCACAACCTCCTAATTGTTTTCTAACCAACTGTTTCCAAGTAACAACCTAAGCCCCTAACCTTTGTTTCAATTAACCGAAACCATAATAGATTTACTAATAGCAAAATAAACCTAACAAATATCTCTAACAAACTTTTTCTCAGAGAATAACCATATAACAGATTCTTCATTCTGTGGAGGACAGACAGTGATTTTTCTCACAAATAATTATTCATATCGCAAAGAGAAGAAATTTAGAAAGAGAGGGATCATTATTCATATAAAATCCATAGAAGAAACGCATCAGAAAAGACAAACCAGATAAGAAACCCTTGGTACTTTTCTCTCGCTTCAGGTTTTTCATGATCTTCTTGAAGCCTCGTCAACCTTCAACAATCACCATATCAACCTTTTGTAATCTCTTCTTAACAACTTCATCTCCATCGCATCTTCCACGAATCGTATCGTAACTTAATTTTCTTCATAGTCCATCAACGATTCTTCAACTATTCTCTACTACAACAACCTTCACTTTTCGCCATCATATTCTCTTCAATCATTATCAAGAATCTGTATGGGAAACAATGTCGATAATTTCATCATCAGAGAAGCACGAGAAGAAGGATAGGGAGAGGATTCACGATTCAGGCTTCACAACATACAGAAAATTCAACAGAAAAAGAGAACAAGGAAACTCACCAGATCAGTCCCTTCATTCTTCATCTCCAATATCATTTTCAATAATCAACCTTCATCCTCTATAACCATTCTTCAACCTCTAAATTACCCTCTGAAAAAAATCCCTCTGCATCTCATTATCTTTATAATCGACCTTCAATCTTCACCTTTCTAAAAAAAACCTCAGATCTCCAATATTCTTCAATCATCACAGCATCAATCTTTCTCTACAACACAAGGCGTCGAAGCATCTTCAACACCTCTGCGAATTGCATCATCATCATCATCATCACAACACTCTGAATCACCGGCAGATCCCACACTCTTCTTTTCAACGTCAAAATAGATTCTCTACTTCTACGCATCAATCTACTACATATCTTTATCCTCGAGCATTTCACAACAACAATACAAAATATAAGTCAATAAAAGGTTCAGAAGTAGAAGAGAAGAAGTGGAGCAAGAATCAGACAAAGGTGAAATTTGAGAATTTACCTCAGAACAATCATTGGAGTTCGTCATCACCTCGTCGGAATCGCCGCCGCAAGTTGGTTTCTTTACTTAGATATCTGTTATTGGAGTTTTTATATGTGAAATTGGTGTAGGATTCAGGGTCGGAGATGAGGTTTAATGAAACAAAACTCAAAGGAGCCTCGAGATCAGAGATAAGGCTGAGAATAAACGTACGAAGACAGAGAGGAAAAGGATGGTTACAACGTTGAGAAGGAGTGAATCCACAAAACTGAGGCGTTATTGACGTTGAAGACAAATCGAAATCGGAGAGAGTGAGACAGAAAGGGGTTCGGGACTGAGGTGAGGAGAGTGCGAGTTAGGGATGTAATCCGAGTCGAGGAGCGGCGACGTTCTATTTGATTTCGATCAGAGAAAAAGAAGTGAGGTGCACCGCAGATTGAGGAAGAAGAGAGGAAATTTTTCCAATCTTGAACCCTAGCTGTCTCCTTGAAACGCAATGTATCCATCCCTTTCATATTGTTTTTTTTTTGTTTTTTTTTTTGTTAATTATAAAATAATTATGCTAATAATAATGCTGAACTAATTGAAAAATATATGTGCTGAAAGAATGAATGAAAGAGATAATGTTGAAAGACATAGTTGAGTGAGATGATGGACCGAACCAATGGTTTCCTAGGCCCAATGGATTTTTTGATAGCTTTTTAGTTCATTTTGATGGGCTTTGTGGCATTCTAATTTTTGCTTGCAGCATATCCTGGATCCAGCTTTGCACCTCCTGAAGTTTTATTCTCAATACTTATTTCAAATGTACTTGCGATTAATTTTGGTGATTTAATTTTTGTGATATTGTTAAATAAAAAGATTTAGGTGAAGATTTCACAAAGCTCTAAAGCTAGCCAAAAGCATAATTGTCATCAAGTAAATTTGATGAAGCTTTTGGTAGAGTTTTCTTATTGCTTGCATGGTTATAAAGAAGCAACAAACCTTCTCTGTTTGGTATCATCGTGATCTTATTTTATTCCTCAATTCCGCACTTTACCGCTTTTCTAGAGATCATGAGAAGCAGGTCTTTACCGCTTTATGATGCCATGAGAAGTAGGATAGAGATGTATGACGGGGGTCTCTGTTGCTGATCATGTCAGGAACCCCTCTGGTTTATTTAAATACCCGTTTAGGGCAATTACGCATTGTGTGCATTCTGTTTTCTAATTGTGTGTGGTTTGTTTAAAGCCCTGCCTTTGAGTAGGTATTCTGCAGGTGTGTTTACATTGGTCTCCGTATTATTCCCCCATCCCTTATTGAAGTCCTCAAAAGGAGGCGAGTAGGGAGGGTTAGTAATCAACCCCCACAATTTCTTTTGTGTCATCCTTAGCTCGTGACGCACCACGAAGCTTCGTAGTTGTGCTTGCTCTTGTGTATTGAGTCGTCGAGTGGGGAAGGGTTCCGCAATCGAACCCCAACGCTTTGTTAGGAGTTCGCATTGGCCGATGCTGACACTCTGTGATCGTTCATTGTCTTATGTCACCTACCTTGGTCTCCTATATCTTGGTTAGGTGTTTAGTCACTTTGGACATCACATTTTTGTTTTTTCATCTCACTCCTGCTTGTTTATCTCGGGTGATATGCTTCCCTTGGCTAAAGCATTTATCTTCTTTTCCTTACTATTTTATGAGTGTGCTATTTCGAGTTTGCTTACTTTATCCTTGTACATACCATGTTCCCTTAGGATGTGCTTGCTCCTTTCGGATGCAGGCTAGGCCTTAGGTTGCAAACCATGCATGCTAACATTAGGTAGAGATTCCCCTTTCATCCTTGACGTAGGCCTACCATTGTATGATAACATTAGGTTACAAATAGACTAGTCTCCCTTTAGACTCTTTTCTTCCTCTTTTGCATATGCATCTAAAACTAAAACTTATTTGTTGTACCCCAAAATTTGCCCTCCCGTTTTCACAAGAAATCACAACCTCAGGGTTTTCTCTGACTTTTCAAGATTGGCTCAAGAATCGGTCAAATAGGCTTTTCTTTATCAGTAAATCCAGAATTAGGGTTTCCACTGATTTTATTGAGATTGGCTCAGGAATTGATCAAGCAAACTTTTCTTTAACAGTAATCCAAGATTAGGGTTTGCACTCACATTTCTCAGAAGAAATTGAATCCACAGTATTTCAATTGACTGTTACATTATTTTTACGCTTGTTCAAGATTACTGGTTATTTCTCAAAACCAAGTTATCTGGGGTAGGAGCTGAGACTGTTGTTTAGAACTTTGAGGCATTTGCTTGATCAGTAGAGTGAAAGGTGTAGGGAACGCTTGTTTGTTTAACCATACAACGCATATGTTAATTGGAATACCAGGCGTATTGTGATTAATGTGAGATTGCGAGACTGCAAAGTTTGTTGATTATTTATTTCATCTGGATTAAAGTCATTGGGATACATTTCCAGTTATTTTAATTTAAGAGACTTAAATAATTAAATAGACAGTACAAGGAAAGATTGGAATATTTGACAGTAGAAAATTATTATTTGATAAAGAATTTTTATTTATTTATTTCAAATATTGTTACAAATTTTATTCGAATATTGTAAATTTATAATTTACAGTGTTTACAATAATATTTATTACAATAAATGAAAAGAAAATAAATCTAAAGCCTAAATCTCTTGAAATCTTTGATCTTTACTGAGTCCTCCATTATTCAACTGATACTTACCTGTAAAGGACAGAAGAAAAACAAATCAGTGCAGTTAACTGAAAAGCATTTTTAAGCAGATAAATAAAGAATCATCATTAAAGCTTGTTGGTCGGAATCAGAAATGCTATGTTCATCATGTTTCATTTTCCCCTCTGCAAATCACAAGAAGATTTCTCTTCTCGGTTCACAGAGAGAAAAATAAATATATAAAATTGCAAGCATACAAGTTATTCAAAAGGCAAAGCAAACTGAACAACAAACTGCATTAGTCAACCAAAGGCACAAGGCTGCACACAAAAGCAAACTAAGTTGCAAAACTGTCAAACCAAGTTGCAAAGTTGTCAAAAGTACACAAAGCTGTCAAAGAAAGCATACAATGCAGGAAATATGGAAACAAGTACAATAATGCAGGAGATGAACCAAGTTACAAGCAAGAGCTTGTCCTAGCTCTCATCATGTTCTAGCCAACAAGCTTTTCAGATTAAAATATATTAAGCAAAAAGTGATTTTATGGAGAGAGAAAGAGAGTGAAGTGGAAGGTTTGCAGTTTTGGCAGGCTGTAAAAGGCAGTAAGAGAACAAAAGATATAAGAGAACAAGACTGTAAACAGTCCAGGGGGAGGAGAGATAGAGCAAAAAACTGCAAGCTTAAAAAACATACAGCCAGCTTCCAACTAAACCTGCATTATAGGTTTACAAAACTGCAAGCTTAAGAAACACACAGCCTGCCTTACCAAACACAAAAAACCTGCATAAACTGCTAAACTTGTTCAAACAACAAGCCTGCATAAAGGCCTCCAACTGAAGCCTGTTTCCAATAACACAAAACACCATAAGCAAAATTGTCTCCAAACTCAACCACCTGCAAAAACTGCTATCAAAAATCCAAACAAGTTCAAAGTTTACTCAAAACTAAAACCTACTCAACCTGCAAAACTCAAACAGAAAACAGAAAACTGCAAGTTACAAGCCTGCCTGTACTAAATACTCAGGCTGCTTTCAAAAACTCAAAAAAACAACTCAAGTCAAGTTCATCAAAACCTGCATTACAAGCCTGTTTTCCAAAACCTGTTCAACCTGTAAAACTTCCTTCCAAAAGTACAACAAATAACACAAGCCTGTTTTCAAAAACTCAAACACTCAGGCCAACAAATCTGTGAGCAAAATTGCTAAGCCTTCACCAAAAACTCACAAACCTACAAATCAAACTACACAACAAACCTGTGAGCCAAGCTCAAGAAACATACCAAAAAAAGCCACAAACTGTAATAACCTTGTTTTCCCAACAAAAAGCAAGACCATAACATTGGTTTTCAGTTATCACCATCATCAAGTCAAAACATCAAAACATCAATATCAAAAAGAAGAACAAGCAACCAGTTCTAGGTTGTGTTCACCAAAAAGTTTCAAACAACATGAAGAACAATAACAAATAGCTTTTTTCAGAATACATATATTCATCATCAAATAAACAGGGCACTCAAAGAAGAGGAAGAAGTCCAGAAGTGAAGAAAAGAGCAATACAGTTTTCAGAAACGAAATCATCATCAAACATCAATGAAAGTTCAAACAATATAGTCTTCAGAAACGAAATCATCATCAATGAATCATCAAATCAAAAGCACAACAGAAATACCAGAAGACCAACGCAATCGTCACGCTCCTCCTTCGCCTAGCCTCCTGGAAGCGTCGCCGGCCAGCTCACCCTCCTTCTCCTTCAATTTACAGAACAAAACGCCAAGGTACATCTCTCAAAACTCCTACTACATGTAAATATCAAAAGAAACATGGATTAAAACTCGCATGTAGTGATCAAGCAAAATGAAAGCGTAATATCACAAAACCCTAAAACAAAGGTTAACAAATCGTATCGTCACGAAGCGAGAAAACCCTAGACCGCTGCAAAGGGAAGGCAGGAGGTGGATGGAGGCGATGCTCCGGTGGATAAGGCGAGGGGAAAGGATATCAGTTGTCCATGGCTGAGAACGAGGAAGAGAGAACGGAGAAGATGAAAGGAGGCGTCGATGTACCAAAACCAAACCCTAATTTCTGAACCCACAAAACACCAACCCTAACAAAACTTGTTCAAACACCCACATGGGCCTTCCCCCAAATAAAACCCCTAAGCCCAATACACTTTCCAGTGCCACACCCCCCTTTCCTTCATTTCTGATATTATAAATTTGTTCTTCTTCATTTTTCTTGGGCCATAACTCATAGGCCCATCATCTTTCCCTTTCAATTTTTTAAATTAATATTCAAACTTTTCTTTACTAATTAATTTCCTTTGAACCAATACTTTTATTTTTATTTTTCTATTCTAAAAAATTTTGTTTTGTTAATAGTAAAGAGAAATAATAAATTAAAGTTTGTTTTGATATATTTTCTTTAATATTTGTATATTTAATTAAATATAAAAGAATACTATGTTTAATTAATCTTTTTATATAAGTTTCTAAAAAACATAAAACACAATAAAAACAATAATAATACTTAAGTCTTTTTTAGGTTAAAATTTTTATTTGATCATTTGTAAATAAATACACGCATCTCATATTTCTTTGATTTTCGTTATCTTATACTTTGTTATAATTTTACATTAAAAATGCGACAGTTCAATTTGGTTGTAATATATACTTGGACATTATTATTCTGATAAGACTCATCCCCATTTGTAAACATCTGTACCCCCATCCCCAGATACTTATTTGTAATAACTTAGACTTTAAATTCCCGCAATTTATCGCTTTCAATATACTGTATAGTAATTAGGGTTTGCATGCGAAGATTCAAAATCAATCGCTAGATGACCTAATAC